TCTTGATGCGCTGCAATTGCATATGCGGCCTGCGTCGGAAAGTATGCGCGCGGTGTCGGCAGTCTCTGCGGTGCTAGCTGCCGCCGCGGCATGGCTTGTACCCATTGCTGTATGTTGGCTTCTTCTCCAGGCAAATATACGACCGGTATCGTGAGCGCTGGCGGTGGAGGGCGCGTTGGCATGTGTAAGTACGACGGTGACCATGTGATCATTGCGATGAATGCTGGAGCAGGCGTGGTTTTCGCTGATGTTGTGTTGTTAGCGTTAGGCGTGTTCGGCGGTTGTTGATTTAGGTGCGCGGGTGGCGGTTTGCACTGTCGCTGGCGTGGTGCGGTCGCGATTGCAGTGGTCGTTATGCTACCCCGCATCTTAGGCATGGGCTTGCTTGGTATTGTGCTCTGCTCTTGTTTCGAATGTGGAGTGCCGGGCTGCAGCGCGGTTGCCCGTGGCGTGGACACTTTGGGTTGCAATGGCTGCTGTGTCGACCGGTGTTCCGTTGCCGGATTGCGCGCGCCGCCTGCTGCGCATGTCGGGCTGGCCGATTTGCCGTTAGCGGTCCAGGATGGCGGTAGAGTTGGCGCGAATGGTTAGAGACAGGGCTGAGCTGATGGTGGCGGTGGTGGATGGGCTGGTGTTTGCATGGTCCTTTGTGCTGTGCGAGTGGTGATGTCCTTGCCGTTGGAGCTGCTGCTACCGTCGCGCTTGCTGGGGTTTTGTGGCCCTGGGTCTCGTGGGTTGCATATCCAGTGTAGTAGGAGTGCTGCGTCGCGCAATCGCACTGCCCAGTTGCACTTCATGTCGTGGTCGTCGCGGCAAGCGTTGGGCCATTGGGTTACTTCTCGTATGGCTCTGATATTGGGATTGTCGAGCGGTGCTTGCCATCCTGCGATCAGCAAGGCGACATGGGCGCGTCTGGGCGACTTGCACTCCGATCGTTAAGCTGTCACGGTATTGCGCCGCCAGAGCTTGCAAGTCGTTGCCGCATCGTGAGAAGTTCGATTGCTTGGGCGGCATGCGTAGTGGTTGGTGCGAGTCCGCTTTGACGGCGCCCTTGGGCTTGACCGACTCCGTGCAAACCGTGGCGAGGACTGCGTCACTGGTCAGTGGTGTAGCCTGGGTCTCGGGTCGAAGTGGCGGGCTTGCTAGGTGTTGCTTGCCGTCGCTGCGCACAAAGATCTCGTCGCTGCATGTATTGGGGCACCTGTGCCACCCAGGCAATGATAAGTGGCCGTCGGGGAATTAGCGCGCGCGTGTATTGGTTGCCCCTTGGCAGTAGACTGCACGGCGTCGAATGTCTTCTCCTTGCATCTCTTCGCCTGGGCCGGCATGGTGGCAGTAGGCGGCCCAACCGCTGGGTAGGCGCAAATCGCGGTATCTGTTTGGCTTGAGCTGTGATAGACCAGCTTCGAGAACGTCGGAAGCTCGGCTCATCTTGGCCCATGGGTCGCCCCTGTCGCCGCCGTTGTCCTCTGACGCTGGAATGCTGTAATATTCGCATCGGTCGTCTTGCCATTGGGCCGTTGGTGCGTCGTCGTTCTGCGTTGGCGGTGTCGGCGTCCTCGGTGGCTCGGGCGGGATGCATTCGCGGCAGTATTCGCATTTCCTTTTGTCGTACTTCGTCCTCTTATCCTTGAACGTGGTGATGGGCATGGTTTGCTCTGGTGGTATCGTTCTCTTCTGGCCATTGCACGTGAATCGTATGCATCCCTGGCAATCATAGAAGCCCCTCTCGGTCTCGTATCGTTCTGCGAGACGTGGTTGCGCGAATGCGCAGTGCTCGTCGTCTGGCGGCAAGTCGGCGCGGGAGCGGAAGCCGCCCTCTGTCTGCATGAACATCGGTGGGTCGCATGTGAACTGTGGTCCATGAGGGCGCGGCAGGACGTCTGACGGTTTGGCCTGCAGGCACTTCGGGTTGCAGTCGTCAAAGGCGGCGCATTTGCTCGTGCACAGCTCTGGTGGGCGCAGGCACGAGGCTTCCGATCGTGCGTGGCCGCATAGGGTGTCTGGTTGGCGATGCGAGCTCGCAGTGCGAGGGGGGCGTTGGGCCTGCATGGTACTTGAGATGGGCAAGTGCGGCACCCTCCCAATAGTTTCGTTGCTCGCATTCGGGGTAGTCGGCATCCTCTAGTTCGACGTATTTGGGCTGCTCTTATGTGACTGATGGGGTGGTGTAGCATCGGCCCTTCTAGTATGCACGTTGCCCATGGTGGGCGCAGGGTCGAGGCTCCTGATGCGTGTAGTGCGTCGGCCGGGTAGTTGGTGAGTGAGTAGCCCAGACCCTGATGCGACGTTGGTCATTGAGCATATGGCGGCACGTGTTTCGTAGCTCTTTTCGTTGTAGTTGATCTTCATGTGGAAGGCGTAATCCTCGTCCACTTGGAACTCGTGCCTCTTGGTGCTCTGGTGGTAGATGATGCTGTAACATGTGTATTTGAAGCTTTTTTCGCCGCCGTCCTCACTGTAGTAGGAGCATGTTAGTCGTGCCTCGGTTTTGTCAATGTCGTTGTTGAGCTGATCCCATGTGCCGTGTATGAGTGGAGCTTTGCGCAAGCATCTTGGCGGCTCTTCGTCGTCGACGAATGGCTGCTGATCGGGTCTGTCGTCGGCTTGTCTGTAATGTGGCATGTCCTTTGGCCGTTGCGACGGGCGTAACTCGTCGCGATGGCGTGAACATAAGCACGTCCAGCCCGCCAATGCTGATGTGAGCCGGTCGTGTAGGTTGGAGTAGTTTCGGCGTGGTCGGTGCCAGCGTTGCGTCCGCTGAAGATGCCTACGGTGTTCCCTGGGGAACGCACAGCCAAGTATCCATGACTGCGCATTACCTCCAGGAGTTGGTCGTACTCTTGTTGAGTACGGGGCATCTGGTGGTTCAGCGGTTGCAATGGCTGTGCTGCTCGGGAGGCACCAGCCCCCAAGGCCCGAAATATGATCACGGTAATGATCTGGACGTTGGGTCTGTTGAAGCCTGCTCAGTCTGCTTCCAACCTGGCCATCTCGAATCGGGACAGCATTTAGTCGATGCGCTCGCCTCTCTCGACCCTGAAGTCGATGAGGGTTGTCCCTGGGGTGAGCTGTCGCTCGTCCTCGAGGTTCTCAATGTTGGTGCTTGGTAGGTACATGATGTATGTGGCTCCGTCGGTGCGCCCCCCCCGTAGTCTGACACCAGAGTTGACGATGGTGGACGGCACCCTCATGGCTGGTGCCCCAGCCATTCCCCCTAGGCCGCGCTGTAAAACTGCGGGTTGCCGGGGTGGAGTCACGCTTCCGCCCGCGACGTTAAGCCATGCGTGTACTTCGCGGACACAGTCGCGGAAGGGTGCGTTGCCTGCGGGATCTTAAAGGGGCACCGAATGCGTGTTTCATCCAGCCCTCCTCCTCGCATGCATGCGACGGCAAAACCCAAGGACACCCAGATGGTTCCAAAAATCGCGACCTTAACATAGTGCATAATCAGATTGTAACTGATGGTGTTAAACTGTGCATCAGTGGATATTGTCGCGTCCGTAGGGTTGCGACGGGGTGTCTGGTCTGACGCGGCCGTCCGTCCGCTTGCGGATAGATATCGGTACTTGGGTTGTGCGTGGCGTGTGGCCACGCAATGGGGAGAGTAGGACTGCAGGTTGCCAGTAGGTTCGGCAATACTGGGAGCGTAGCGGTTGGGAGCCAGCGCAGTCGGGTAACACCACTGTGCCGTGGTGAGTTGTTATGTACGTAGCACCTGATGTAGGAGCCAACCACACGAATATGTAGCCAGCCCCGCTACCAAGTGAGCAGTAAGGGTACAGGATTTGACCATGAAGCACTAAGCTGAGAACCCTACTCGTATGATAACGTCGGCGACGTACCGGAGTATCCCATAACCCATCCCTTGATTGCAAGCAAGACGAGAGCTAAGAGAGAAGCCATTGGATGGCGAGGTGGATCAAAGATAAACGCGGCCTTTGTCTGATACTATGACCCCAATGTAGGCGCACAAGGTCGTGCACCTAGCAAATAAGACAGCAATGTCGTGAACCAAGACACCGTCGGATATAGCGTTCGCTATACAACCTTTCCTTACAGTTGGGGACCCAATGCGAACACAGTAGACATATACGCCAGAAGACTCTTCCAGAGGTGGTTGCAAACATGTTTCCCGCTCCAGTTGGCTCCAAGATGGCGCAAGATGGCCTCCAAGACGGCCAAGATGGCCCCCACGCTCGCATGTGTGATTGTTCGGCCTTCCGACGGCCCAAGAGCCCCGCAAGATCGCCCTAAGATCGCCCAAGAGGCAACCAAGATGGCCCCAGAACGGCCCAATGCCCCAAGACTGCCCAAGAGGCCTACAAGACGCACGATATGGCCTCCAATACGGCCCAGGAGCACCCCAAGAGGGCCCCCAGTCGGCTCGGAGAGGCCCTCAAGACGGCTTCCGACGTCGTCAGATGGACCAGGAACGCCCTAAGACGGGCAACGAGACCACCGAGAAGCCCCAAAAGACACCCAAGAGGCCCAAGGAGGCCCCAAAGATGCCTCCAAGAGGTTCCCAAGAAGCTCCCAGGAGGCCCCAAGAGTGCCCCCAGAGGCTCCCAAGATGCCCCCTCCTCCTGCTCCTCCTCCTCCTCCTCCTTCTCCTTCTCCTCCTCCTCCTCCTCCTCCTCATCATGATTTTCCTCGTCATCCTCCCCCAAATGTCCCCCGAAGGGTATCCACAACGGCTGGGGGAGCACAGGGTCCGATAGCTTGGCAGAGCTCTTGCCACAACGCTCGGTCACATGGGCGATTCCAAAAGGCAGGGGGCGGCGGTGACTCGCCGTAGTCCACGATCATCGCAAAGTCTGACTCCTTCTGGGGGTCGGTGGCATGGCGTAAGCCACTTGAGTAATACGACTGCACGAATCATCAGAACAACATCGGGAATAGAGGATAAGACAACGACGAGGGACCCAGGGCTGGAGATACGGGGCCGCATGGCACACTTGATCCTTCTGCCACCTCCTCCCTGCCACGATAAACGCCGCCTTGCGTGGGATGAGCTTCTTCATATCGTCTTCCGTAAGTGGCACCTTGCGAGGCGGGACATCGAGGAGACGTCGACAACCACGCGTTCGAGCATGCGGCCATCGTACGACATAATAACAGATTGCGCCACAAGAACTGTCTAGTGGAAAAAACAATATGCCGTTGTCCGACCACTCCAGTGATGCTGCCAGAGGAACCGCGAGCGAAGAGAACAATATGGGAAGTACGGTCCTGCGCCGCTTCCTGCTCGTCCGCCTCCTCCTCCGCCTCCTCCTCCGCCGCCTCCTCCACCTCCGCCTTCTCCTCCGCCACCTCCTCCGACGCCTCCTCCTCATCCTCCCCCTCCTCCGAAACTCCTCCTCCTCCTCCTGCTCCTCCTCTGCCTTCTCTTCTTCCTATGCCTCCTTCTGCTCCTCCCCCTCCTCCACCCTCATCTTCCCTGGTCCTCCCTCATGCTGCTCCTTCCCCTCGCCGTCGCCCTCCTCCTCCTCCTCTTTCTCCTCCTCTTCCTCCTCCTCATCTTCCTCCTCCTCCATTCTGGCTGCGCAACTCCATCACCTTGCATGAGCAGGAACGCTGAACTTCCAGATTTCGTTATCAGTCTCAGTGGGAATGGGCGGTAACAGAGTCTGAGAATGGGTCCCCAGCTGCTTATGCCGACCATCCCGATGCTCTCCTAGGGTCGCCGATGCATCATCTTCACTGTCGTGAGAAGTTCAAGCACCCTATCTGGGAGGCTAGGCCAAACGTATGATGCTCCCGATCTTCCGCATGTGACGACGGATGATGTGCAAGCGCTGTCTGTGCCGCCGGCCAAAACAATTTCGCAAACTGTCTTGCAAATGCTTCACCAGAACCGCAATCGGAGCAGATTGGATACACCCTTGGCACTTCAGTTCTCGTCCGACCAGGCTCTTCGGGCGGTGACTGTGATATGGCGGGTTGTGCTTCTCCTGGGTGAGATTCCCAACAGGGTGGCCTGGATTATTGTAGCTCTCACTTTAGCTAGCTCTGGGATCGTCCAGTTTCAAATTCCACGTCCAACGTCAGGCTTATCACCCGCTGGCACCGTCACTTTCGACATGATTTAGGGCTGTCTGAACATGTCCGACGGGTAAAACAAGTCCATCTCCATGACCCAGTATGGTACACTGCCTTGGTCCCTGACCCGAACGTCTTCTTCCCCCTCCCTCTGTTGATAAAGAGTCGGAGTGGGCGAAGGCGAGGGTTCAGGGACAGGTTTCTTGTGCCCCAGCCTTGGGCGATGGATCAGGTATGCATGTCCCTTCACCCCGCACCATCAGGTTTGCATCTCTGTGGCATCGGTGACCTGCCTTGGGAACCCTGTTTCTGTGGCTTGTGGCATCCACCCCAGTAGGACGCTCTAAGCGCCGAAACGTTTGTATCTGAGATACAAACGTTCCTAGGGATGATCGTGGGTATCATTGTCACTCAGACTGTCGATGGATGCATATGCCCATTTAGAACTACCTCGTGCTCTGGTATGCCTGTTCACGCAAATCTCTGGCATTACTCCATGAGAAGGCTAACGGCATAATGTATTGATACGTACACGTTGTTCACAAGGTCACGGCCAATCGTGCTGAGGATGCGCACGAGCAAACGGTATGCTTAGCCGTGCCAAGGCAGTAGCACACGTGTATGCGAAGCGTGGGATTACTCGGCATATGAGCGACGAAACGAAACGGGTCTTATGCGAAATGGCGCGGCGACCTTACGCGGTGGCTTACGCGGGCCGCCAGCGCAGCATCCCACATTGGAAACGCGGAAACTCACGCGCGACCTTTCGCGGCGAGCTTACGCGACAATTTCGGCGCAGAAGACCAGATTTTTTCCGTCGCCCGTCTGTAGTTGACGAATCAGCCCTCACTTGCTTTGTTACAAGTTTGAGCCAACTGTACGTCATATTGCTTCTGATGCGGTTTCCGGGTTGGCGGGGTCCCCTACCTCCACGATCGGCCATCTAGTGGACTAGGATACGGCTTCTAGGCTCAGATGTGTTGCTTGCTGGGCTTCACTTGTGATAAGCGTGCCCTGTCGCGCGCCAACTGTCAAGCCCCTGAGAGCGATGGTCACGTGCTCAAGGCTTGTGGCCCCTGGGCCCATATACTTTGTCGAGCTTGTAGGCAACACAGCGCCAAGAACATTCGCAAACAGCAGCAGGTAAGCCCTCAGCAAGCCAGGACTCACATTACAAAACGTCGGCTTGCTTGATTGAGGAATGGCAGGAAGCCCCGTGCAGATGCTGATCTCGGGGATGCCACATTTCCCTTCCCCCCGGTCTTTGATGTAAACGAGCAGAGGCCTCCCATTGATGTGGTCCCCTGTTACTTGGATTTGCCAGCGCTACTGTACTCAAGGGCTAGGTAGGAGTCCTGTTGGTGTGGCTGTTATGAGTTCCGCTGAAACCCCACTGAACCTGGTCTGAATCCTGCCCAGGTTCTGCAGCCTCGCCCGCGCCTGCCAGGGCAGGCAGCCCGCTGCCGTTTCACCCTCGTCGTCGTCGTGCCGCGCTCTCTTTCTGTGGCCTGGACCCCACGTGCTGCCCTCGCCAAGTTCTTGAGTCCTCCTCGCTCTCCTCCTGGCGGCGCGCTCAAGGGGGTGGGGCGCGGCGGGCGGCCTTCCTGAGCAGCCCCCCTGCCTTGATGGAAGGCCAGCCCACTCGCTTCCACCCCCTGGTGCGCGCCGCCACCTATCTTCCTCCCCCTCGTTCTTCCCCTTGTCATCTTCCTCCTCGCTTTTGACGTTGCTCGGACGTCATCATGCTGTAGCACGCAGCGCTCAGGTATGACAATGAAACGGACCGACTTAGCAATGCGGTAAAGAGCAAATTAACTTGGCGGGCGCAGCGGAAAAAGTCAGTGAACAAAACTGAGGAATGAGAGCAGATAAGAGCATGCGCCCGTCAGGTGGTATAAACGGCAAGCCCGGAGTACCTCAGTCTCGCTACCTCCTCCAACTACAAAGCACCCCTACAAATCCACCTTAGCATGGATAGGCAAGCCGTACTGGAGTAGGCGTGCAGTTTCCAAAAGCAGGCGACTCTGAAATAGCGCGGGAGGTGAGGTGACCAACATAAACTAACATACTAGCTACAGCGGCAAGTTGTCTGGCAGGAGAAATTCCCGGCACCTCCCGCACGCTAAAGGAATTAATTAACACACTTATGCAGAGAAAGGCACGCACAAGCTAACAGGCGACACGTGAAAGGAAAGGTATGGGATATAAGCGCGTGAGGCTGGCACATGCTAGGCCGTCCTGAATAATCAGAAATTGGTAGCGTTGAGGTCCGCTACGCTGAGAGGCTGGCTCAAGCGAGGTGTGGGGACTGGACGGTAAACTTGCTGAGTCAGAAGCTGATGATCGAATATGACAGAACGAGCAGATGCTTGCAACAAAACTGAAGAGAAGAGAGGTAACGAGTCTCAAAGTGTCACTGAGATTCGCTGATGTGCGCCAGTGTCTCAGAAGCAAAAAACAAGGACGGATAAGAGTCGGCCCTCTCCACGCCCCCCTCGTCCCTACACCTCTAAGACCCCACCTCCCCAACCCAAATTCTCTAGACCGGCACCGCCACGCCCAGTGCGCACTGCTGTAAGCAATGATGTGGTGTGGGGGGCGGGAGGAAACTGCAGGGTACGGTTCAATACGGATGGCAAGAGAAAAAACAGAGCATGAAGAAATAACGTTTAGGCTGGAACACTAGGTGGCTGGCCTGTGCCCAATGCCACTTACTTCAGTCTGCCGCGCTTGTGTGGCCGCTCGAGGGTGGCTTAGAGCTGTAAGAAAAATGAAGTGCAGGCTTGGTGGCAATTCTTGGGATGCCGCCCAAGGTTTTTCGGTTCACCCCAAACCTCCATGGTCCCATGACCCTCGTCGTGTTTTTTGTATATTCTTCCCAGGTTCAACACGAACCCTTGTGGTTTCTGAACGGTGACTGCAAGGCTGGCACACATAGGGCTTGCCTGTAGCGGCCTGCGGCGATGAGTAAGCTGAATGCGCAAGAGTAGCAGTAATATGTATATCGTAACAAAGGAAACTATGCGTGAAGCTCTGATGCAAGCCTCCTCCTCCTCCTCCTCTTTGTCGTCATCCTCCTCCTCCTCCTCATCATCATCACCACCACCACCACCACCACCATCACCACCACCACCACCACCACCACCACCACCACCACCACCACCACCATCATCATCATCATCATCATCATCATCATCATCATCAGCATCATCATCATCATCATCACCATCATCATCATCATCATCATCAGCATCATCATCATCAGCAGCATCGTCAGCATCATCAGCATCATCATCATCAGCATCATCAGCATCATCAGCATCATCATCATCATCATCATCATCATCATCATCATCATCATCATCATCCTTCCCCTCGTCCTCCTCGTTATCCTCCCTCACCCTCCTCCTCCTCCTCCTCCTCCTCCTCCTCCTACTCCTCCTTTTTGACGTTGGCCAGACTCTAAGCATGATGCTCGCAAGGTTCCCTCCTCCTCCTCCTTCTTCTCCTCCTCCCCCTTCTCCTTCGCCTCCTCGCGGATGTCCCGTCCGTGCACATAGGCCCCCGTTCACAATAGTGATGGAACAGGCCAGGCTGCGACCAATCCAACATGGCGGACGACAAAAAAGCTGTCAGAGGGGGCCCCCCGACGACGCAGGCCGTCGGAGTGGCTCAGGGGCGCCTCCTTCCGTCGGCATCGACCCCGCCAGGCTACCAGGCGGGGGCCGACAGCAAAGAATAAAATGTTTACGGTCAACGGGCGCAAGCGAGTCGAAGCTGGTGCAGGCGCCAATGGGGCTACGGGCGGGACGCGCCAGGAATGATTCGGGGCACAGAAGGCGGAGGGGAACGCGGGAAAGGCAAACGGAGGAGGAAACCATTCAGAACATGAACTCCTTCGTGGGCGTGCCGAAAGAATGACTGGGCGTCGTGCCAAGAGCCATACGCGACCGTCCACCTGCCTTCGGCCCCCAAACAAGGTTCCTCCCTCCCTCCCCCTGCCCCCTCTCCCCATACATGCCCCCTCTACCTCCGCCTCCCCCTTTGCGCACGCCCCTCCCAGCTTCCCCTCCCCCGTCTCCCATCGACACGCCCCCAGCCCCTTCCACCGCTTCCACCGCCTCCAGTGTTCCCCGTGCCTTGCTCGAGGGAGCACAAATATGGAATAGCGCCGCGCGGATGAGCGACGCGCCCCGTCCCCAGTCGGCACGCTCCATCGCGAAATCGGGCCGCACTGGCTTCACGGGAGGGGGTTTCTTCCCAAATCAGCTGATCTGGCGCCCACGCGCCAAATCCACGGATCCCCAACACATGTTAGCGTGTGCCCGACTTGCCTTCCAGCATGTCCTTCGCCCTTCTACTACGCCGTCGTCGAGATCATGAGCCTGACCTCCGGCGCCGCTTGAAGATCCACATGGTCTGAGAGCTCCCTGGTCGTTCTGCGGCCGCTGCCTCCTCCCCCCTTGCCGCTCTCGCCGCACGTGGCTGCGGACGCGTCCCGCCGCCAGCCCGACCGCCTGTGGGACCGAACTCGCCGCAGACCAGTTCAGCGCCCGACTTGCCCCCTCTGCACACGCCCCTCCCGGCTCCCCCCGCACCCTGCCGCCCTCCCCGCGGGCCTGCCCCGGCGCTGGGGGGGGCGGGACCTTCCCGCAGACCTGGCTCTTGATGCCGAAGCTCGCGTACTCGTCGGAGAAGGAGATTCCAGACTTCGCCTCCTGCCGTGGGCGACGCTCAGGGGCGAAGGAGGAGGAGGAGAAGGAGGAGGAGGAGGAGGAGGAGAAGGACGAGGAGGAGGAGGAGGAGGAGGAGGAAGAGGAGGAATAGGAGGAGAAGAAGGAGGATGGATGGCGGCCACAGTGGGCGGGGAGTGGGCGCTGCGGGGGCAGCTGCGGGAGGGCAGCCGGGAGGGGGACCCTCCTCGGCATGGCCTCGCCTTGCATCCTGGCCCGGCCCTCCCCGGACACGGCTCTGGCGGGTGCGAGGGAATCCACCTTCGCTGCTGCCCCTGGGGCCTGAAGTCAGAAGGGGCAGAGGAAGAGGGGAAGCACCCAAACAGCAGAGAGGTCCCAGACGAGCCGCACTCGGACGCAAGGAAGGAGCTCAAAAAAAGGATCCGCCCCAGGGACAACCAGCCCGTCCGTGCAAGGCATACAACAGCCTGCCCGCGTGGTAGGTGGTGACCACCGGATCCGCTCCTTGCCGAGACAATCCCCCAACCGCAACGACCCCAAACTCCCCAAACTTCGGGCGGTCTGGGAAGACTGTGCGGCTGGAGACAGTGGAGAGATGGCCTCGGGGAAGAAAGGCATTGGTGACCACCTTCCGCTAACCCCGTGCCCCCGCTCTTCTGCCCTACAGCAGGCCATATCGAGCCAGGGTGCAAGGGGATAACCGAAGCCTGGCATCCCCCCTTACTCTCAAGGATCTCACTTCCCTGCAGGACGGATTCACTCCGAACCAGAAGGCCGTCTCGCAGCTCCAGCCCCAGGCACCCCCGACCTGCGGAGTGTCGGGGCAGAATGGCGGCCGAAGAGGCGGCGGAGGATCCCAAGCGAGGCGATCCATTCTGATTCCGGCTACTCCAGTTTTCGTGATAAAAGGGAGGGGGTCACAACCCTCCCAGACGAGAAGTTTTAGACCCCCCCAGACCATCCATGCAAGGGCGGCCCTTTGCCCAGACCCCTCCGAACCCTCCAAGACAGGTCAAATCAGACCCCCCCCAAATGTGACCCCCCCACTTCTATTATGGAATCCGGAGTACCTTTCCAACCCCTGCCTCCCTCGATCCGGCAGGTCGGGGCAGGCTGGGCTGCCGAAGATGCAGCATCCCTCCCCCGCCCCCCCCTCACACTGACGAGCCCCCCTGTGGATTCATCACAGGGGGTCCCGGCGTGCTGGACCCTTTCGCTTTTGGTTTTGGTTCTTTTCCAAAAGAATTCCATCTGGGGTTTCCGCCCGTCCCGCCGGAGATGCGTAACAGGTGGTTGCAAAGAGTTTTTCGGCTCCGAACGGCTCCAGGATGGCCTTCAAGATGGTCAAGATGGCCCAAGATGGCCTCCAAGTTCGTCGAAGATGGTCAAACAATTCCCGAAGACGGCCCAAGAGAGTCCAAGATGCCTTCAAGTTCGTCCAAGAAGCCTCCAAGACGGCCCAAGATGGCGCCAAACTTGCCCTAAGACTGCCCAAGACAGCCCCAAGGGCCCTCCAAGAGCTCCACCAGGAAGACCCGAAAGAACGAACTTCATTGATTTTCCCGTCGGCTTTTGAAGGGTTTTGGCATTTTCGTCTTTTCAGCTCTCCGACGGCCGAAGACGGCCCAAGCAAGAGGCCTCCAACATCGCCCCAAGAGCGCACAAGAGGCCTCCAAAATGGCCCCATGACAGCCCAAGAGAAAGGGCCCCAAGACCCCAATACGGCCCAAGAGGCCCCCAAGACGCCCAATATGGCATCCAAGACGGACAAGATGGCCTCCAAGATGCCTCCAAGACGGCCAAGAAGGCCTCCAAGACGGCGAAGATGGCCCCAAGATGCATACAAGGCGGCCCCAAATGGCCTGAAAATAGCCTTAGAATGCCCCAAAAGGCCCGCCAGAGGCCTTCAAGACGGCCCAAGAGCCCTACAAGACGTCCTCCAGGAAACCCGAAAGCTCGGAAACCACCTGGTCCGATAGCTCGCCCGACTCCGTGTTCCCCGAAAGCTTTCGAAACCCACTCGGGGAACGCGTGGCCCGATAGCTTGGGCAAGTTAAAACCCAACTTTCGGCCACGCAGGCGCTTCCAATAAGGCAGGGGGCGGCGGTGATTCGCCGTAGGCGTCTTCGATACATATGTATAGTAACAGATCCTGCATCTCCACGCCTTTTCCACTGATATCGGCTGCCAACCGTTGCTTAGCCGTGCTGGGCTTGCCAGGAGAAATCGAGCAACTAACTGCCAAATCAGGTGGACGACAAATGTAGATTGGACTAGCGGCGCAGTCACGGGACGCCCTTCCGCCGGACACACCAGGGGCGTAGGAACGCGGCGACAGATGCGCTGGCAGCGCCCAGGCAGAACGAGCTCCCGCTGCGGTCCGCTCATGACGCCAGCCCGCGGAGCCACCCAGAGGAGCGCGGCAAGACGGCGACACATGCGCGCCTGGCAGCACCCGGGCAGGGCGAGGCCCCGTTGCGGCCGCTGACCCCGCTGGGCGCGGCAGAGCGACGACAGCAGCACCCAGGCAGGCAGGCAAGCAGGCAGGCAGGCAAGGCGAGGCGAGGCCCCGTTGCGACCTCCGTGTGTGCGACGTCACTCCGCCGGAGCCCTCCAGGAGCGCAGCGGAGCGGCGACGGCTGCGCGCACGGCAGCACCCAGGCACGGCCAGGAACCGCTGCGGTCTGCGTGTGGCACCACGCCGCCGGACAGGTACCCCCAGGGGACCAGCGGGCAGAGCGGCGGGAGCTGAGCGCAGGGCGTCCCCAAGCTGGAGCCCCTCAGGGCGCAGCAAGGCGGCGACGCTCGAGCGCCTGAGAGCACCCAGAAAAGGGAGGAGGAGGAGGAGGAGGAGGAGGAGGAGGAGGAGGAGGAGGAGGAGGATAGGTGCGGGACTAGATTTGCCGCACTTGTGGCTCAAGACACCCAGGGAAAGGTCCTTCCCCCGATCCTCAGGTTATGAGCCCCTCGCATCCGTCTCACTCTTAGATGCTTTCATCGGATCGCGATCGGACCCGCTCTTGCCCGGCCCGCGATGGCTACGGACGACGCCGCTGTGATTCCAATCCCGAGCGACGGCGACGACGATGATCTTACAGATGATCCCGCAGACTTCACTGGATATGTGCGCATCCCTGTTGCTTCGGATTCCCCAGCGGTTCGTGCCCACTCGGACGGTCGTGGCGAGGCGTCTCGCCCAGCCAGAAGAGTGGCGCAGCCGCCTCCAGGGACTCCAACCAGCTTCCAAACAGCCAGGCCGCACACAGCCAGACCACAAGCACAGGCACAACACGACACAACCGACGACAGCAGGCCAAACGTCAACACGTGCTTGATGTGCCGCATGGGCGAGTCCCTGGCGGAGGTGGCCCGTGAACTGTCTGAGATGAGATCCAGCAGCAGTGGAGGCAGCAATGAAAGCTCGCGCCCGCTGCCGTCCACTAGGGCCTGGCGGTCTTGGCAGCAGACAAAACTCGCCGGCTGGTGTGGCCTCCAAGCGGATGGCTTCGCCGAGGCCGTTCGTGACGTTCTCGCGCATCCCCGTCTGGCCTTGGACCGCATTCACAACGACGCACGCTTCGCGAAAGCTAGCTGGGCCTTGGCTTTCGAGCTTTGCGCCCAGGCCGATGAGGATACGAACTTGTACTTGTCCACTGCGGATCGCACGGGCGGCGTGGCCATGTTGGCTGCGCTCACGAAAGCTGTCATGAGCCCAGGTGCCGCGCACGCGGCTGTCTTGCACAAGCGCTTCAGCGACCCCGAGCCGGTCGTTGATAAGAGCATGCTGCAGCATGCACTGCGCGCGTGGCGTTCTGAGCACGAAGAATTGAAGGCCGTCGGCGCCCAGCCGTCTGAGCTGACCGCCTTGCAATCGGCGCCTGTTTAGCAAGCTGAAGTCCTTGGAGACAGCCTTAGAACTGGTCGAACTCAACGACCCAGACAAGCCAAACGCCATCTTCGACATGGCCGACAAGCAGGCCGGGGAGTGGGCCATCTGCGAGCCGAGCGTCCGCGAAACACCCCGTGCCAGCGCCACCGCCGTCCAGCCTCGCACGGGCAAGCCCGGAGCAGGCAAGGGCAAAGACAAAGAGGACAACTTCGGTGACAGCATTTGGGTCTTGTGCTCCTTCTTTCTGACAGGCCGCTGCAGATTCGGCAAAGGCTGCCGCTTCTCCCACGACATCACGACCTGGCCCACAAATTGGGACCTTTACTTGGCCCCAACGCACACACACACAGAAGCTGTGCCCCGTGACACCTGCAAGTTGTGCTTCCAACAAGGCCACTGGGCAACAAAATGCCCGTGGAGTTGATAAGGTACGCAACACATGTAACTTCTACTTCGTCTTCGTCTTCGTCCCCGTCGGCAGCCATGCTTACTGCCCGCCACCGGGCGGCAGAGACGGCGGCTCCTGCGGCCGTGCTGGACAACGCTCGCGGCTTCGAGCCACTGGCCCAAACGTGCGAGCCGACGAAGCCGGCGCAAGCGGAGCGGCAGCTGGTGCTCCAGGACCTCCGGAAGCAGCAGATAAGCAAAGCAGAGGTTCTCCGGGAGCGTCTGCGCACCGAGGCGCACCCAGCAACACGGGATGGGGACAGTCGTGGCGAGGTGTCTCGCCCAGCTGGATCCGTCCGTCTGCGGGCCGACGTCCGTGCCAAGGTCGCCCCTCGGCTGGCGTGGCGCCGTGATAAGGAGCGCCGCAGGGCTGCCAAAGACCAGCGGCCTCCGCCGCCCGCGCCGCCGGCCCCTGCTGGCGATGCTGGCACGACCGACCCCAGTGAAGGTGTTCAAGCTTGACATCGGCAAATCCGATGACGACCGTTTTCGGGTCATCTGCACGAGCCGTCTTGCAGGCACCACGTTCGAAGTCAGCGTGGATAGGGACGAACGTTTCGGCGTCTTGCAGGAATGGTCCGCCGGAGAGTTGGCACCAGCAAGTTCTCGCTGATGCTCGAGAACGGTCTCGTGCTCCGTCCAGACTACCTCATCCAGGACGTGCTGGACTTGGACGGGGCGCTGCTGTCTCAAGCTGCTGGGCAACCCCATGAAGAGCTCCCGCCTGTGAGGGCACGGGCTCTTTCAGCGTAAGGCAAGCACTTCGGCCCAGCTCGCGCGGAAGCGGGCCAACCGCACCTTGAACAAGAAGGTGCGGAAGTCGATTTTGAAGTCGAAGTCTATGCTATGCCCTCGGCGGCGCCCCCAGAGAAGCCTCCGCACGTGAGCAGAGGTGCCATTAGAACCACGTAAAGGCAGCAGGGGCGCCACCGCCAGCAATCGGCAGCGCGCCCCGCGCATGGTCCTGGAAGTAGGTACCTGCCTCTTGCCTGCCCATCGCACGAGAGAGGTTTCCAAGTCCGTGAAGCAGTCGCACAAGAGGTATTTGTATATTCAGTGTATGAGTCCGCGAAGACATGTTGTAATGCGTGCTCAAAGTAGCCATACAAATTATGAGCTCAGTTTGCATTCCTTCGACTTCTACATAATTTCTACGGCCGTTGCATGTCTTGCTGTGCGATACACTGATAAGTACACTGCAAGGAAATCTTCCTCGGCAGGTCTGATCAGCCTGCTGACGGTGGGGTGAGGTGTGCGTCAGGGTCCTTCTTCTCCAACTCCCGTCTCCCACCTGTCGCGGGCCCGCTCCGCGGCGCACCGCCCGGCTTAGTCGCCACAGCGCGGCAGGGCGGCGTGCGAGACGAGAGCTGCCGCACTGGTGGCTCAAGACACCCAAGGGAAGTTCCTTCCCCCTATCCGCAAAAGGAAGCGATAAGGGAAGCGATAGAAAAAGTAGGAGACGTCCTCCTCCTCCTGCTGCTCCTCTGGCGAATTCCAGGCAGCAGACAAGGGATCCTGAAACCTCAGGACTTCGGAAGGCGGGCTCGTCCCGAAGTCTTTGGCTGCAAGGGCGGGACCCGGTGCCCTGCCAGTGCAGCTGACTCAGACTAGCACCGAGAAGGTTCCTCACTCATCTGGCTCACTCCCGAGTCCCCCTCGCTGTCGCCATGACTGCCCCACACTGCGCAAGCTGGGGAGACCGAAAGGACCGATACCGCTACTCCCCAGACCTCTCCTGGGGTGCGTTCTGACCAGAACTTCTAAGCGAATCCAGCGGTGGCGACGAGGGCCCGGGAGGCCCAAACATGGGAAAACGTGGCAAGGGTAGCGGTGTGGGCACCTTTGCCTCCTCTGACAAGCGGGCCGCTCCTTCAGGGAGGTTGCCACCTCGTCCAGCGTCAGCCCCAGAGGGCTCGCGATGCCCATGCCCGTCACCACCACTCGCCGGTGACCTCGCGGCGGCGCACCGGGCACGGAGGAAGAGGAGAAGCAGAGGGAGGGGGAGGGGGCGCTCGCTCCAGACGTCTGGTTGCTCTGATTTGCGCGCGCTCGGAAGACGGCGGCACATGCCCTGGAGCGAGATAGCAGGGGGGGAGGGGGAGGAGGAGGAGGAGGAGGAGGAGGGACTGGAACAAAAAGCCCATCGGATCGAGGCCAGCTACCTTCAAGAATGTGAAGCGTTGGACCCCCCAACTCACCTGGCACTTCCGCCAACTGGCATCCCCGAAACAGCACACGAGCCCCGCGCCTGTGTACCCCTACCCCTCCAGAGCTTCGGGAACTTGCGATCCTGTGGTGGTGAGCGGCGGCGAAACCTCGACCTGCACCTTCCGCACCTTCCGCGCGGCAGTTGCCGCGCTGCCGCGGCCGCCGCCGCTGCCACAGCGGCGGCCACCGTCGAGACCGCAGCGGCGGCCGCGGCAGCCGCCGCGGCCGCATCGCGGCGGCACCTCACCTTCCGCGCGGAAGGTGCGGGAGGTGCAGGTCGAGGGAAATCCTGGCTGACACCTTCGTGACGAGCGCCGCCTTCCGGCTGCCTGCCGTCGTCTTAGAACCAGGCGATGGGGGCCGTCACGGAAGCGGCCGGCCTGCCGCTGGCCGCCCCCGACTCGTGCAGACCGAGCCGCAGGGCCGCGCCGTGGGTGGACGCATGACGTCGGCCAGTACCCGACACGCCGCTGCGGGGGCCCTTCCAGCCGCAGCAACAGCCGACATAGCTAGAAATTGCGACATCGCGACAGATCACGGCCGGAGCCCTGGACCCCATCTTCCTGAACAATTTTTCAATCCAGATCCTGGGGCCCGAAACCCAGCGAAATGCCCGTTGTGAAAACATGTTCGTGGCGCGCACAGGGGGGCAGGGGAGGGGGGAAAGCTTCTCAGAAGAAGGCTGGCTGCTTCTTAGAAGGCGCCGTCTATTGATAAGGCCCGCGCCGTCTAAGAAGCGGGGATGTTTGTACGAAGCGTTCCCCCCGGCGGCCAGCGCATCCCGCGAGTCCGCGGCGCCCGGCTCGCGCGACCCTGGCGCTCGCCGCCGGGAGAGCGCGGGAGCCCACACATCAGGCGTCCTGGATTTCAGCGCCGCCCTGATGGGCCAGCAGATCTCTGGCGACGCGGCTGCTTCCATCCTGGCGCTTGCGCCTCGCCTTCGGCCTCTCGGGGCCCGTGGGCCATCAGATATAGAGCTGGGAGGAGAAAATACCCCCAGGGAAAGGAGCAGGAAGAGTCAGTATCAAATCGGGCGATCCGGCCCGACAAGAACGCACGTCGGATCGGGCCACCCAACCATCCGCATCCACTATACACTGTTGCGCCTAGCTGCTAAACCTCCCCACCATCCTGCCGTCTCAGATCCTGAAGAGAAGGAACAACAGCACTGTCATGATCTCTGTCCACCATCACGAACGAAAATGCGCGCCCGCTTGTCTGGAAGTGCGTCGTCTGCGGGATCGGGAAGCAGCACCCGTACTTGTTTTCAGCGGCGTCGCACTTGATGGCGAGGTCACAGCTCCCGCTCGCGTTCGGAGCCGCCCCCCCGCCCCCGCGCAAAGGCCCAGCCGGGGGCCGTCTGGAAAATCATGGCGCCCCCGTGCCTACCGCGGGGCCCGACGCCACAGGAACCAGGATCTAGGATCGATGCTCTGCGCGTGGCCGAAAATTGCCAAGCCGCGTGACGCTGGAATTGCAACCAGTGTCCGAATGCCCCCAATGACTGAGCCATCTGGGTGGTCGTCAGGATGGGCGACCCCAGGATGGAAGGCATGCTTGGCGTCGCCCGCTGACCTCATCAATGTACCGCCACTGATCCGTCCACATAGAAGCATCCCAAAGAATCTCTGCGCAGGGAAGTTGATGCTGTCCAAGCGCGGTAATGAATACCATCGGCCCCCGGTGCACTCCACACACCCTTCATCTTGTCAGCGGCGCGCCGCGTCGACTCTGGGTCGGGGGGGGTCGTGCTGAAGGCGCGGAGCCACGCGCCCCCCTGTGCACTCACTATCGGGGCCGTCTTCGAATGGAACCTCCGGGAGCGCGGGCGCCCAGTCGTTGCAGATTGCCTGCAGAGGGCCCCCCTGAACGAAGTGAGCCGTGCTGTCGTCTCGCAGTGCCCTCAAGATCATGCCCTTGCCGAATGGGGCCCGCATCTGAGCTCTCCTCTCAGCTGTTGCGATCTCCGCCTCGGGCTTCTTTTTGCGTTGAGTTTTGGATGGGCGGGCCTGGGTCGCAGGCGTCCGCGCGACCGGCGTGAAAGTGGATCCCCCCGTCCAACTCCGAAAGAGTTTGTCACCATAAACTGCCACCTTACCACCAACAATCGTCAGACAGGCGGCTGCCTTCGACTAAGCCGAAACGATGCGCGCGGCCAGCTTGGCGCCACTTCTCCACGCTGCCCCCGCTGCTTCTCTGACTAAGGCCAGCTGCGAGCGCACGTCGCCAACCCCGACCGCGATCATCTCTTTGATGGTGATGCGGGCAGCCTCGACGATCGGCTCTTTGATAGGGCGAAGCCGCGGATGGGGGATTTGTGGATGCGCAAGCATGTTCTGCAGCTTCGTTTCCAGCCAGGCGTTCCAGTGTCGTCGCGAAGCACGCCGCTGGCAGGACAACGAAGTCCTCGTCTGTCATCATTTTTTCTTGAATGGCGACCCAAGGAGGCGCGATCAGACGCCCCCTGGCCATGAAGCGCACCAGGCGAGCCAACCGCAGTTCCGCCATCGGATGGCCGGCGCCCCGTTCGCGCAGGGGCGGCTGTGCAACTCCAACCCAACGGCGATGACTTGCCAATGTTTTGCAGAAGTGGGTCGGGGCGTCCGACGAGTTCGACCAGCGAGTCGAAAACCTCTTTTCACTTCGCGGCGAAGCAGCTGGAGCTGCTGCACTTGCTGAGTGAGCTTCTCCTCTGGGGCCGCAGCAGGCCCATCGCTCCGTGGAAGGCGAAGTCAATGTCTCCCGCCACATTCTGGGGTCGAGGCCTCGGATCTTGCCGCGCCTCATCTATAGCTCGTTGCAGAACGCGCAGAATGATAAACTCTTGTCCGCCCGAAAGATCATCGCTGTGGACGCCGTTGCGGCGCGGCCCGGCCTGGTCTGAATTCGCTTTGACTTTGGGGGCCCTTCCCCTGGCCGGCGCGGTCTCCGCCGCTGTCCTCGCGGCATCATCCGATAGAGGAAGAACTGTAGCCGACCCCGTTTTGCTGCGCGAATGGCGATCAGGCGCGGCGCCGCAGAACACTTGGGAACGCGGCGCACAGCGCTGAAAGTAGGTCTTGATGCGGCCCTTGGTCCGGCGCGCCCCCTGAACCGCAAGGGCAGCGCGGCCTGCCCCGCGACGTCTTGGATAGCCCCCCTGCGCGACAGCCATCGCGCCTCGCCGCCAGGGCAAAGCTCGAGGGCCCCACGCGCCAGCATCCGTCTCGAAGATCCCGCCGAAACCTTCGAGGGTCGCGACCCGAGAAGGGCACCGCGTTGAAGAGCGGGAAGTTGTAAGACACCGCTCAAGCCGAGCGTCGGGAGCGACCATGGGCTCGGGGCGCCGGAGAAGCCGCCGTCGAGAACGGCGTTTCCCATCCAACAATTTATCGCTCCAGTAGACCGATGTCGATCCTCTGCCGGCGTCGGGGGCCAGCGGGAGCAGGGGGTCCAGCTTCCCGAAAGCCGCCCAGATTTACGATCGAAGAGGAACTTTTGGTCGCAGAACTCGCTCCGTAGTTTGCTGACGCGCCTCTTGCCTTGGATCTCAGCGCAAAGCGACTTGCCCGGTCCGACGCGAAGCTGGGTGGTCGGGCCGTCCGCTGTCAAGACAAAGATTCTGATCCATCCACCCTTCATGTCAGGCGCCCCCGATGCTTGCTCGATGCTCGACCCTCCTTGATGCCGCTGCCGCTGGCCCAGAGAATTGCACAATAAATGAATTATATTGCAGACCTACCGACTCCACCTTAAACGCGCTCTCGAGATCCGCCTTCTTGAGTCAGGCGCCCGGAGACTGCGCTGCACTTTCGTTCTGGACGAGGTCGGGCGCGGTGACTTCGAGGATCGCGGCGTCGACGTCGGTTTCGGGGTTGGGGGGGGCGCGCTGGGCGATAACCAGCTCCCTCCTGATCTCGTGCATCTTGGACTGAAGGTCGAAGATAAATCCGTCATGCTTCTGGATATCGTCAGCGTGCTCGTCCAACTCGTGGCCTGAGTCATCCACCTGCTCCTGCAGGCGCTTTTCAATGCCGTCAAATTCTGGTCGAATATTCGCAGAGGCGGCGGTTGCCGCATTAGCAGTTGCGTTGGAGAGCGCGTCGCTGAGCTGCTTGAAAGCGAGGTCGATGGGGGCCACGACAGCATCGGCAGCGCCCTTCGCAGAAGCAGCGAAGTTACCCTCCCACTCTTGCTTGAAGTTCCCCCAAATCTCGCGAATGTGGGCGCAGGCCAATATTCTTTGATGCGGCAGTCATGCTAATCGTCTTGCTCATTGGCGCCATCTGTACTTGAAGCAACGCGACCAGACCATGAGCGCACAGCCATCGCCCCCAGGAGAAACACGGCAGTGCTCGGCTTCTGCATATGGAAGAAGCCCCTACGTACTGCGAGGCTGCACTTTCTGTGTACGGCGGATTATTTCAGGCATGCTGTCCGTGGCGTGATCAAGATGCTCCTGCAGAGAGCCGCTCCAGCAATCTGGCAGCAACACGCAGCCGAGCGCCACAACGTCAAACGACTGCCCTTTGTCGGTGTATAGAAAGGAGCAACACTTGGAAGCCTGCACTGCCGTAGAGGAGGTGAGCAGGAAATCAAGCGGCAGCGCGCACTGCCGCAGCGGACCAGCGGCATCCATTTGGTCCCCCCAGGAAACCAACATCTTGAGCCAAAACTGTTAAGGATCGAGGGGGAAAGAGGAGGAGGCTCCAGAGGCCGAGAGACGACGAGAGACCTCCTTTCCGATTCTGCCGACGCGCTGCACGTCAGGGGAGGCGGGGCCAAGGGGCGACCATCTCGGCCTGGGCGCTGCCGCCCAAAGCCTCGCTCGCCAGGCCAGGAGCCCAGGGGCCGCGGCCAGGGCGTCCCCTCTGGGCCTCTGCGAGAGTGGGTGGGTAACACTTACAAAGGCGGACAACATACAGCCTCGAGCAACAATGATGAGGGCGGTTTGCGAGCTAGCCTTGAAGAGTTTGTCGCTTGCTCCGCATGAGCGCCTCCACCCACCTGGGTCATGAGGCGTACCTTGGTGGGTCTACTCCAATCTCAGAGTGGCCCATCTTCACCCTCTTCTTCGTCGCCAGACGTGGAAATCGGCGTTGCCCCCCCTCCCCCTCCCCCCGTTTGCTGTGACGAAAGCCATCCTCGCTGCCGCTGGGCGGTGAGGGCCCCGCCAAGCGCCGCGCCTGGCGGGACTGATTTGCTGCAGGCTCCAGCGCGCCCAGCGGGCTGGAGCCTATCCGCCGGCGGAGCGGACTATGACTGTCCGCCCCGGGTGGCAGCAGCTCAGTGCAGAGCATCGTTTCACCGATCCCTATCCCCAAGGGCGTGGCCTTGGTCCCGCTGGCCAAATTACCTCCCTAGATGGGGATATAGGGTGTTCTGTTCCCTTCGGGGTTCGAAGGGTACATCCCCAGATGGTGGGGCTCGGGATGGGGATGGGGATAGGATCGGTTAAAGGATCCTGACAAGTGGTTGTCGTCCCTGTCCTGGCGTCGCCTTTTTGTTCCGCAACGCACGTGTTCGCTGGGCTTCGGGCCCCAGGACCCTCACAGATCGGTCCGACCTGAAGAACAGCGCAGAAAGATGGCGTCTGGGGATCCAGTGGTGACTGAGATGTTGCAATCCCAGACATGCGATGTCCTGTTTTGCTTCCATACAAGGTCCTCGGAAGTGCCGACCCTTTCCCCAGGACGTGTTTTCAATCCGGATCGTTATTTGACGGTCACTGGGCCCAGCGAGGGCCCCCAGAGGCCGAAAACTATGCAACACCTCCACGCTGATTTCTTCAAGACGCGAGCATGTCGGTCTTTGTTCGGGGGCAGCGGGTGATCTGGGGGGTCTGGTGAGCGGGGCGAGGTTCGGCGGGCGGAGCGGGGCTCAGCGGGCGGGTGAGGCCAAATCCGTTCAACATGGGTCCCCGGACCCCTCCCAGGGTCCATTTAAATAGGGTACTTTGTCACCCCAGATCCGCTTCTGACGGTCCCGGGGCCCGAAAACAGCCCCCAGAGGCCGAAGAAGGCAAAGAACCTCGGCGGCGACCGAGGGGGGAAATGAGAAGGGGCAGGCCTTTTCAGAAGGCTCGGAAGTCCCCGGGTCTTCTGAGAAGATTCCTGAGCCTCCCCCGAAGGCACAGAAAACTCCTCAGAAGGCGCGGGAGCTTCTGACAAGGCCCGCTGCCTTCTGACAGGGCCCGCTCCTTCTCATTTCTCACTCACCCCTCTCGCTCGCCGCCGATTCTCGAACCCCGAACTTCCAACCTGCTGGCGAGGTTGCGGGAGGAGCATCCGAGCGGCGGTTCTCCAGCCACGATCGATCACTCACTAGCGCTACGACGTCTCGACGTCAGCGTCAAGCTCAACTCTTCGCCCTTCAATGCCCACGTGCTGCCTCCTCGAACCCCGCACCTCGAGCCTGCCGGCGAGGCTGCGGCAGGGGCATCCGAGCGGCGGATCTCTGCCGCGCGGGACGGGCTTCGGCGGGCGCGGCGGCCCTCGGCGGGCGGGGCCGGCGTTCGGCGGGCGGGCGGGGAAGCTGCGGGAGGCCCTGGGATCCGACGTTGCGAAACAGCTGCCTGGCGAAAATCTCGACCAGAGCCCGAAACCCCGTCCGGGGACGCGATGCCTGCACACCACCCCCACGCACAAGTTGGCCCGGCACAAGAGAGTGAGAAATGGCATCCCTTGGGGGCAAGACCTTCCTTCACCACCCCTACAAACACGCTGGTCCAGCAGGAAGTGCGCGCGCGGGGGGGCGGTGGCCATACATCGGCCCCCGACCATCTTCCTGCGGTATTGTTCGAGACGGATCGATCTGTGATGGTCCCAGGGCCCGAGGCGAAGACGCCCTGTGTGAAAAAATGCAGCATCGCGAAAATCATCACAGGAGCCCTAGACTTGGGTGCGATCCGCCAGCAGTCCCTGGAGGAGGTCTCGACTCGAAATTCAGAAAGACAGATTAACGAGAATCTGTCGATCTAGGCCTCGTGCCCGCTCCGTGGACGCTGGGCGGAGGTGGTGCGATGGCCTCGCTTCCGACGTGGCCCAGTGCTGGTGCAAGGTGCACGTTCGCGTTCAGTTGCGTCCTTGGCCCAAGTTCGGAGCATCGCGAAAATCAGGACAGGAGCCCTAAACCCCATCTTCCTGCGGCATTTGGCATTTTTCGAGACGGATCGATCTGTGATGGTCCCGGGGCCCGAGACCGGGCGAAGACGCCCGGCGGGAAAAAATGGCAGCGCCCGGATCTCAGGGGGGGGGCATCCGAGCTGTGGGCGGGGCGGTGTTCGGCGGGCGGGGCCGGGGTTCGGCGGGCGGGGCCGGTGTGCGGCGGGCGGGCGGGGCTGTCCCCACCCGCGAGAGAGAGGGCCCGCGCTCGCGCCTTTGGTTCGCCCCCCGCTGCGGCCGTCGTCGGCCCTGGGCAGGGCTGTGCCGAATTCACTTCAAAAGTTATGAATTATGGCGGTGCCCGGCGAGACCACACCCAACACCAGTGCGGCCACGCCACGGGCGCACCTGCGAATTCAGGGGGCGAGCATGAAGCAGCGGCTGCGAAGCGGCCTGGGGTGAGAGGGCTGAAAGGAGGGGGAGGAATGAGCGTGTGAAGGAGGAGCGCGAGCAAACCCATCTATAGGGAACCCATCTATAGGGATCGCGCCACTGCCGCAGGCTCCATGGCACCGCTCAAGCCTGCACCTGAATGAGCTTCTGATGGTCACCCTTCTCCTTCTTGTTCTTCTTCCTGTTGGGCGACTGACGGCCAACGGGGTGCGTCCTCCTCCTCCTCCTTTCTCCTCCTCTTCCTCTTCCTCCGCCCCCTCCTCATCATCAGGCAAGTGCAAGTCGGTAAAAAAGAGGGGGCACCCACAAGTGCGCCCCCTGCCCAGAGCAAACGCCCTAGACACACCTCCTTGGATCTAGTTTGATGCCTACCAGCGCGACCCCACACAGAGAGTTATTGCTCTGTATATGTGTAAACGAGGTGGTGAATATCTGCCAACGTGCCTCGAGGCACAAACTTGAGTGTCCCCCTGGCTTCTAGAGTTCTCTGTACTCTGTATTCAGCACTACATATACCTATACGACCACCCTTCGGGTGATAAGGAAGTTCGGGGGGGGAACCAACGTCTCACTCGATCGGTCTCACTATCGATCTTACTATCGATCTCACTATCGGTCTCGCTCGATCGATCTCACTCGATCGATCTCACAATCGATATCACTCGATCTATTTCATTCGATCGATCGCACAATCAATATGACTATCGAACTATCGATTCCACTATCGATCTCACCATCTATCTCACATTCGGTCTCACTATCGATATCACTATCGATATCACAATCGATCTCACAATCAAAGTCATCATCGTCGACATCGTCATCAACGTCATTATTATCATCATCATCATCATCATCATCATCATCATCATCATCATCATCATCATCATCATCATCATCATCATCAATGGGACACCATCATTGTCACCATCATCATCATCATCACCTCATCACCATCATCATCAGCATCAGTATCATCATCACCATCATCACCATCCGGTTACCATCACCGTCACCATCATCATCAGCATCATCATCATCACCGGGACACCATCATGATCATCACCATCGTCATCGGACCACCACCATCATCATCATAATCATCATATCATCATCATCATGAACAACATCGTCAACATCATCATCATCGGGGCACCATCATCTACATCATCAGCAACCGCATCACCATCAACATCATCATCATCATCATCATCATCATCATCGGGAAACCACCATCATCGCTATCATCATCAGCAACATCATCATCAGCATCATCGGGACACCATCATCATCATCGACGTCGGCATCATCATCATCGTGCCACCATCATCAAAATTATCATCACCTCATAATCCTCCTCATCATACCATCGAACACCATTATCGTCATCATCATCAACATCATCATCATCGGGACACCATGATCATCATCACCATCATCATCATCAGCAGCATCACCATCAACCTCATCAGCATCATCATCATCATCATCATCATCATCATCATCATCATCATCATCATCGGGGCACCATCATCATCATCCTCTCATCATCATCATCCTCTCATCATCTCATCATCTCATCATCATCGACATCATCAGGATCACCAACATCATCATAATCACCGGGACACCATCATCATCAGCAACATCAGCAACATCATCATCATCATCATCATCATCATCATCATCATCATCATCATCATCATCATCGGGACACCATCATCATCACCTCATCACCATCGTCATCAGCATCATTATCATCATCACCATCGGGACACCATCACCGTCACCATCATCATCATCATCAACATCATCATCGGGGGACCATCATCATCATCATCACCGGAACACCACCATCATCATCAGCATATCATCATCATCAACATCATCAGGAACATCAACCTCATCGTCATCATCATCGGGTCACCATCATCATCACCAGCAATATCAGCAGCATCAACATCATCACCGGGACACCATCATCATCACCACCATGGCCATCATCATCATCATCATCCTCATCAACATCGTCATCAGCATCATCATCATCATCATCATCATCATCATCATCATCATCATCATCGTCATCGGGACACCGACGGGACACCGGCGGGACACCGGCGGGACACCGCGCGGCACCGGTTGCCGGAAGGGAGGCTTTTGGTCCAGCCGCGCCTCAGCCAGAGGCGGGACACTTCTCGCCCGCCCACGCAGCTTCGCCTCGCCCGCACGCACGGCACGCACGAACACGAAACCGAAACCGATTTCCCGGTAGGGGGGCTCTCCGTTCCACTTCGATCTCACCCCCTCACCTCCGATACAATAAACGCAGAAGACCCAACAATTCAAAATTCCTGAGCGCTCCCGCAGACTCCCGGAGTCGGTGGCGTGACTTTTTCCAAAAGCTCGAAGGCCCCCACCAAGATGTGCCCAAGAGGCACCCAAAACAGCCCGACAACGCTCCAAGACCCCCGAGATGGCCCCAAGACGGCACAAGCGGCTCCCAAGACGCCCCAAGAGGGCCCCAAAAGGCGGCCTAAGAGGACCCCGAGTTGCCCAAATCGTTCATCCTCCATCGGTCCTTGAGAAATTGTAACGTTCTCGCCTTTTGTAGCCCTCGACGCTCCAGTACGACCGGAAAGGCCCCAAGAGGCCCCAAGAGCGCCCCCAGACGGCCCAAGATGGCCCCCAAACGGTCCAAGTGGCCCCCAAGACGGCCGAATTGAGTCCCAAGAGGGGCCGAAGACAGGCGACAAAAGAGGAGCACGAACCGACATTTAGAGCGCCTCGCCCCGATATGGGCCCCGAGACAGCAAGCAGGCCCCGAGAGGCCCCGCACAAGCTCCAGGAGGCCCCGAAGAGGCCCAACTCAGACCCCAAGAGGCCCCCAAAACGCTTCAACACCGAATCCGACAAGCTTGCGATAGGCATCCCAAAAGTTCTCCAAAGGCATCCCATAGGCCTCTGCGCGGCGGCGGGATGGTCCCAAGGTCGCTAGCTATGTGCTGCAAGCTACGCGGTGCAATTGATTTTTACAAACGCGTTTGCAAATTCCGCGCTTTTGCAATCATCCCACCCACCCGCCCGAACATGGTTTGCAAAACCCATGCGGCGGCGATTGCCTGACTGCTTGGCGTTGGCTGGTGCATTTCTGCGACCGGGGTAACCCGCGCATGCTCGCGCGCACAGCGGCCAGCTAGTTTGGCGCGACCGACGCGGCCGCGGTGGCGCTGAATGCTGGGCACTTCCAGCGGGCACTTCAGTACGAGTCGGTGACATGGGCGGGCGCGGTATCATGGCGACGCTGACAACAGTAGACACGATTATGCGTGTATCTATGATGGTGACGATGGTGGCGATGACGACGGCAAGGCCAATGACGGCGCCGACGTTGATCACGCCCGCCGATCACGATGTCCTCGCGTTGGCGATGAAGGTTTTGGAAGGAATTCGACATGCGGGCGCTACAAACGGGCGAGAGTGGCACGCGTGGTGTCATTTGACACGGATCGTGCCCCCCCAACACGCGCGCAAGGGCGTTCGAATGAGTTCGACATGCGGCGCGAGAGGTCCGCTTGGCCGACTGTGAAGAAAATGTCAAAAGAACTATATTTTCCAGAATTCGCAAAAGCGCGGGCGCATGTTTTTTTTTTTTTGAAAATACGTGTTGCGAAACCATGCGTTTTGTTATATGCTTTCGGGACACTCGTGTTTGCAATCCCTGCGAAACCGAAGGTTTTTGGAGGATTCCGGCATGCGCGCACGACGACGCGCGCGTGTGCAGCTCGTCCCTTTTGTTGCAAGGGGTTTTTGCGACAGCACGCGCGTAAGGGCGTTCGAGCGATGTCCACATGCGCGCGCGAGAGGCCCTTTTGGTAGCACTGTATGAAAATATGGATAAACCTATCGTTTTCTTAAGAATTCGCAAGAGCGAAGGCGTAGGCTTTGGTTGAAAACCCCTCTTGCGAAAGAACATGTGTTTATTCGTTTTCCGGACACTCGATTTTGAAATCCTGGCGAAGCCGAAGATTTGTGGAGGATTTCGGCATGCGCGCCCGACGACGCGCACCTGCGCACTTCGTCCCATCTGTTGCAAGGGATTCTCGAACGACTTATGGGCTTTGATAAACGAGCGCGCATGTGTATATATATATATATATATATATACAAAAAAAACTGCAGTGGCGCTTCGCGCCATGCACCTTGGTCCTTGAAGTTTGGTATGCAGGCGGAATAGCAGGAAGGCCAAGCCGACAATTTAGCGATACCTCCTTCTTGCCTTTCTCCGACATCGCCGCTATAATAATATTATGCATTCTCTCCATACCCTGCGCATTCTCCCCATCCTCCTCAGCTCTTTTTTGCGGAGGCTCCTCCTTGGAGAGCTTCTGGGGGCCTCACAAAAGCTGTTTCATGCTTTCTTAAGGCCTTCTGGAGGCCTCCTGGGCGTATTCTGGGGGCCTCTGGGGGCTTCCTCAGGCCACCCTGCCTCCAACCGCGGTCTCGATTTGGAATGCTTCGGAAGGTGTCTTGGGGCCATCTTGGGCCGCCATGGCCGTTTTGGGGTTCTCTTGGACTGCCTGGAAGCCCTTTCGGATGTCTGTGGGGCGATTTTGGAGCCTCCCAGGCGGCTTCGGACGCCCAGGAGACTGCCGTATTGGAGCGTCGGGAAGCCGAAAAGAGGAGAATTCCCAAATTCCCCCTACAAAAACAACAACAGAAAATCAATGATTTGTTGCCTCTTGGGGCCTTCTTGGGAGTGTTGTTGGAAGCCTCTTTGGGGCCGTCCTGGAGGCCTCTTGGGCCATCTTGAGGTCACGTCGGTCACTCTTGGAGCGCTCTTGTGCTGTCTTGGGGGTCTCTGAGCCGTCTCCGATGACCCCCCTGATCGCCCTAGGTGTGCTGGGAAGGCTTGGCGAAACGCCCTGCGAGGCCCGGTGGGCCGCTTCGAGGCCCGTCCGGAGGGTCCCAAAGCCCTAGATCCGGGAGTCTGGTTTTGGCGGGGGGGAGTCCCCCCGCCCGGGCTTGCAAAAATATAGGAAGAGGAATATGTTTGTATGTATGTATGTATATATATATATACAAGACTGCAGTGGCGCTTCGCGCCATGCACCTTGGTCCTTGAAGTTTGGTATGCAGGCGGAATAGCAGGAAGGTCAAGCCGACAATTTAGCGATAACT